ATGATTTAAAACAAGCTCCTAGACAGTGGTACAAGAAGTTCGATAGTTTCATGAGTAGCAGTGGTTTTACCAGATGCCAAGCAGATCATTGTTGCTACATCAAGAGGTTCGACAATAGCTTATTATTTTGTTGTTGTATGTTGATGACATGCTCGTTGCAGGCTCAGACATGCAAGAGATTATAAACTTGAAGAAAAAATTATTGAAGCAGTTTGCAATGAAAGATCTGGGCGCTGCAAAGCAGATTATTGGGATGAGGATCAAGAGAGACACAAAGTCGAGGACTTTGATGTTATCACAGGCTGAGTACATCAACAAAGTACTCTCCAGGTTCAACATGCAAGATGCTAAACCAGTAAGTACACCTTTAGGTGTTCATTTTAGACTCGCCAAAGAACAGTCACCAAAGACGGAGGAAGAACGTGCACACATGGAGAAGGTGACGTATGCCTTAGTAATTGGAAGTCTCATGTATGCTATGGTATGTACCAGACCAGATATTGCTCATGCAGTGGGAGCTGTTAGCAGGTACATGAATAATCCGGGCAAGGTACGCTGGGAAGCAGTCAAATGGATCCTCAGATATCTACGGGGTACCACAAACAAAGCACTTTGTTTAAAAGGTAGAGATACGATACTGACAGGCTATGTAGATGCTGACTTAGCTGGAAATGTTGACATCAGAAGAAACACTACATGGTATGTCTATACTCTAGGAGGAACTGCAGTGAGTTGGGTTTCTTAACTACAGAAGATAGTTGCTCTCTCCACAACTGAAGCAGAATATGTCGCTGTTACGGAAGCCAGCAAGGAGATGGTTTGGCTCCAAAGTTTCTTGGAAGAGTTAGGCAAAAAACAAGAAAACAATGTCTTGTATTGCGACAGTCAAAGTGTTATCCACCTAGCAAAGAATCCGTCTTTTCATTCCAGAACGAAGCACATACAATTGCGATATCATTTTATCCGGTCTCTTCTGGAAGATGGGATTTTGAAACTTGAAAAGATCAGTGGAGCTCAAAATCCAGTAGACATGTTAATAAAGACGGTGACTACGGACAAACTAAAGTTGTGTTCAGCTTCAGTTGACATGCTAGAGTAAAAGACCATAAATATTGTTGCATTGATCGAGGTGTGAAGACATATTAAAATCAGTCTTCAAGTGGGAGATTATTGAAGTTGAAAAGTCAAGACAAAACAAATGTTTGGTAGCCATAATTGTTGAAGTTTAGTGGCAGCCGGCGGCTAAATGAAGAAAACATGGGCTGCCTAATTTTGTTGAATTTAGGCTTGGATTAATCACACATTTAGTCATTGTACTTTAGGGTATTTTCAAATATTAGTCCCTAAGCTTCAACTATAAATACCCTAACCCATTTAGCTTCAAAATCATCCAAAAATCTCAAAATCATTTCTTTCTCCCAATACTAGAGAGTTTTCTTGTGAGTAGTGAGTGTTTTGTAAACACCTGTAAATTTTCTCTCTTAGTAAAAGATCTGCAGCAGTCCGAAGACGTAGGCAAAATTGGTTGAACTCCGTTATTAATTTCGGGTATTATTTTTCCGCTTTTATTTCGCTTTCTCACTAATCTGGTTATAGGAAAATTACTCGTACTCGTTTATTTCTCAACACCACTGATTTACATGCCTCTTCTTTTAAATGCTTTGACATATTTATCCTCATTTTCTCTTTGGTTCGGGAAGCTGGGTGGGAAGATTGTGGGGATATTTAGGACCACCTTTTTGGAGGTTAAGTAGGGTTTAATGGTTCACTTATTATGCACGTTAGAGAATTAGAAAGAGGGTTCTTCTCAAGTGTTACCAGAAACTGAAAGAGACGGTTGAATCAGAAGCATCTCGTAAGAGAAAAACTGGCTCCAAGTTTTCAAAATTAAGCAAGAGAAAAACAGACCATCAGAAGCGGTGATGGAGATGAAGACAAAATGTCATGTTCTCATAATCGGGCATCTTGATGACCACTCGGCACTAACTACATTTTTAAATCTCCTAGTTTGGCATCCGACGTGTGACCTCTTCATACCCTAGGTGCTGGAAACCAGAAATATTACATACAGATCCGGATTTTGGTGCAGATGAACGGAATATCTTGAGAGCTCATTTATGTTACGAGTACTAAAAAAGTTGGGTCATGTTGTTACAGTTATATGGAATATCATTATACCCAATTGTATTCAAGCTTTTTTCATATATATTATTATTTTTGAGTATTAGATAATAATTTTTTATTTTATTATTTTTGAGTTAATAATTATTTGTGGGAATCAATGGATTGTAATTACTATTAACAATTCACTTCATCTGATTTGAGTGGAGAGTTACAATCGGTAATTGATGTTCGATCTGGCGATTATATAAAGAAATTGGTGATAGGGAAAAGAGAGTCCAAAACTCTAGGTTTTTTTTATTCTTGTGGGAACTTATATACAGATCTCTTGTATGGATGTAGATCTACTTTTCTTACCAATCTACAATAATATTTCATATTTATTGTCTTCCATCAAAATTCAATACCTTTCCATCTACAATTAACAATGTTTATATTCTTTTGGTAATGAACATTAATCCATACGAAATTAAAAGTACAATTTTTTTTTAAGAATTCCATTATCGTCAAACAACAATGTTTAATTCAGACCTTTCTTCAAATATTTTGATTGCTAACCCAGGTGCAGTAATTCTTTGGTTTGAATAGGCAAGAAATTTGTCCGACCGACATTGTCAAATCAATATACTGTCAACTTCGGATAAACCAGTTCTGCCCTTCTTTGGCTATCTCCACAGGGAAAGGGAAGCAATTTTGGAGCTTTTGATCAATGGAGAAAAAAATCAACTGACAGATGGCACAAAACTGGTTGGTGCCGGTTGAGCTCAGGAAGCGAAAATTTGGAAGAAATCAATCTCAACAAAATACATATCTGCAAAAATCATCTCATTTTCCATTCAAACTTTGACACATAAAGGATAAAACGATCCCCATCCTTGTATTGCTAGCATGTAATATCATGATACTTTTTGCAAATTAATATCAACCGTGAGTGGCGGCACTAGGAGTTAAAATTTTTCATTAAGAACCATCTACTATGATCAATCTCTCAATTTTATGCCGAACGATGTTAGTATAAATCTTACCTTGTGGCTTCACTTTGTGCTCATCTGAAACCAGTGTGTTTCATATAGTAACATACCTGTTCCTTCTTGGGGTTTTCATGTTTTAGCCTTTTCCCTTCTTCTTGAGGTCGTTAGACATGGCGAATTCGCGTATTCCAAGGTTCATTGTGGAGGTTGCTCCACCACAGTTTGTAACCGTGATGAGACATAGAACAAGAAAGATGGACACTATAAGTGAAGAGGATAGAGATGGTACTAGTAGGAGCTACAATGATTCAGTACTTTCTGCTACTTCCAAGAGCTCAGCAGCAACTAATTCAGTCCCTGTGGGTGCAATGGCTGCTGCTGCTGGTTCTTCGCCTCCTGCCACTATTGTGACCGCCAATTCCAAGTATTTTTTTGTCAAGTTTTTATAATTAGAATGATTCGCTTTTGATGAACTGACGATGTAAGTACTTGGTAGTATAACCAATGTTATGATCCTGACAAGCTGGGTATGATTGTTTGCATCGATGAGTTGGAGAATTTTCATATGAATAAAAACATTGGTTGATAATCAGAATCAATGCTTTGTCATTTTATTATCTTATACTCACAAATTTTAGAAGGACCCAGCAAGGCAAAAACCCTAGCCAAGGTGTCAAACAACTCTTGTCAACACGTACCACTACCGTTTCGTTGATAGTGTTGTTCAAGTCTTGATGTTGTTCACTCCATGAATTTCAATAAGCAAGAGCCATTAATATACAATAGGCTGTTCGGAATGCATAAGTTTAATGATTTGTTTGGAAGGACACATATTAGTAAAGAGTTGGTACTAAACTATTTATCCATTAACATATTTTTTTTCACATTTAAATTTTTGACAATTATTTTGTGTAGTTTTAGTGATTTTTTCCTTATTTAATAAAAAAGAAATGTCACGCATTAATATCCTTCGATTGCACCACTTATCAAATAAGGAAAATAAATAAAATATTTGCAAATGGCATGTCACATTAATCCATACTCAACAATGAAATCTAGTTAACAGTTTACCAGATTTTTATTCCAACTCATTCAGTTGCTCTAGTTTTAGCACCAATTCTATTTTCGGTCAACCTGAAAGTTTACAACTGTCCCAATACATTTGAAGACATACGTTACCTGGCTTTCGCACTAATCATAGATTAATCCAACGTTGTTTGTTTCCAGTTTCGATTAACTCTTAATCTGAGCTTTATATAACACCAAGCTTTTCACAAATGATTCTCCCCAGGAATTCTCAAGCTTCCTAATCACCATCATATCCTTCCTAAAGCTTTTTGTTGTATTGCAGGAAATGGGGAAGGGCATCAGATTCACACAAACATGGGGTGAGGTGGCACCTCCCCTTCTGATATCTCACCATAGATCCTCAAGTTTTCCGCAATTGGAGACGATCATTGAAGAGGAATGCATCGACATACGACTGCCGAGGAGGGTCTACGTTCTTCTTCCTATATTGCTTTTTTGTCCATGTATGTTTTGTTGTATAATTCATAGTTTGACAGTGCAACTTCAGGGGGGGAGGAACTCGAAAAAAACTACCTTGTTGTATTGATATGTTCTTTTGTTATTATTTGGTTCGGAAACCAATTTTCATGGAATCGAATTATAAAACTTCTCTTCATGTTATTTATTCGATCATAAATGGACAATTTCATTTGGAGAATGAATCGAATCACTTGCGAAAAATCATTTAGTTTCAGTTGTATGACAAATGCACTTTGATACTGGCGGTTGAAATTCAGAAACAAAACACGGAGATATTTCTTTTATAGAAATTCAAAGCCAACATCTACAAAGTCAAAATTTGATCATATAATAAACGTGGTTCACAAATCGTTATGTGTTTTAGTTGCTCTGTTACCTTTTAATACATGAGATATCAAAATCTGCACCTACAGCAAAACTACTGGTTGTAAACTTATGCTTATATTTCTCCAAATAGAGCTTTTGGTGATAATGTGTGTGGGGTAAGGCAAAACCAAAAGCCAAACATGTTCAGGTTCGTTACAAGCCAGGATGTTGATAATGTGTTACCTATGTCTTAACAATTGACGCCCACATCCTTTGTACCAGGTTGTTCAGCCTAATAGGAGAAATTCTTGTTCCTTCATTCAGTTTTTCAGCTGCCGCTCCCATTTCATGGACAAATTTTAGAGACTCGGATAGTCGGTTGAGTAGATTCATCAGGGCAATCACTTCGTTTCGTTGCAACTCCAACTATGAGTCAATAAACTGAGCTTTAGTCCAAATCAAACATAAACTAGTTGCTAATGGCAACCTAGGTATCTCCACAATTAAAAAATCACAAGCAACAAAAGAATAATTACTATCAACTGCAACAGAAAATGAAGCTACTTTAAAAGTTTTTAGCTCTTCTTCCCACATATTATTATATATGACACCATTTTGTAGGTCGGAATTCATAGAGCTTCAATAGCTTTCAAAGTTCTTAAACTAAAATTCTAGTAAATAGAGTTGGAAAAGGATCCTTGATTTTAACAGATACAGTTCCGAGTGTTTAAAAATACACTAGAAAGGAATTAAAACTCAAAATGGAAAGTCAAATGTAGGAAATACTTACCCTCTGATGCAAGTGCTCTTCACCATTAACAGAGAATAGTATCTTCAACGCAGTTCCAAGGCCAAGAACCTGAAGCTTTCCCCAAAGTCGACATTTCTCACACCCTACACAGTCCATCAACGCACTGCAAGACCAATTCAATTGTCATATCATTTTAATACTTGATTAAACCAGTGGCACAGATATCAAAAGTCAGAGATCAAAGAGAAAATGGAAACAATCAATTAAAGTTCCTCTGCAAGTGAGGGCTACTAAGAACCTAAAGAGATTCAAAATTGCAATTTCAGATTTCATTTCCTCTTGCGAATGTTAAGTTCAAATGATTTTAGACATGTCTTAATATGCCAAAACAAGTATGATATTAAGTAAATATAGTTCCTCATTTTATATGTTCAAAAGCATAATGTAGAAATAAGAAATTGCCGCTTTTTAAATGTATCACCAACTAGGAAATTAGAGAAACCTGATATTTTTGAACTGAGCTTGTATTTTCTGTTTCAGCTCAGGTCCTCTTTGTCCTTTCCATAGTCTAGCTTCATCAAAAGGAAGTGGGCATGCAGCTTGCAATTTTGGGTTATAAAGTAGCTGTCTCGTTAGGGACTGAGTTTTCAGGTCCTCGGTTGGATTACTGGTATTGTATTCAGCTTGTTCCAAGTAATCAGCTGCCTGTGACAAATCAAGCAAGCTCTAGTGAAGTAGCTGACTCCAAAATAAATAAATACTTGAAAAGTAAACATAGATTTATCACGTATTTGTACTCATGCTACTCACCTTTGTCACAGCTCGGAGAACAAAGAGGAATGTGAAGTACAAGTTTTGCACACGATTTGGATATCTTAAAACTCGGTTATACAGTAAGTCAAGATTATGGCCCCACTGAAATAAGGAAATAACAAAATGTTATATATATAGAACTATCCTGCACCTATAAATAAAAATACACAAAATTAATAATATATACCAAGTTTGTGGCTTCATCAAGTAGATAATCAGAAGCTATATGGATTGAAATAGATGAGTGAAGACCAGAAATCAATTTGTACAGTATTTTTTCTTCTTGGCATAATTCTTCAGCTGGATCTGCATAGGAGAGTAAAAATGAGAAAAAAATTGCAAAGAAAAAAAGATTTTGTTTGTGAAAGAAAAAAAGACTCGATAGTTATCTTCCAATAAGGACAATTGAAATGAAGGGACCTGCTAGAACAAAACTCATGCCAATCAATCACTTCTCCAGTAATCCATTAAAGTTATGTTGATTGGAGGTTCATCACCAGACATTATAAATCCAATACACAAATACTTTGTTTGCATGTTTGTTTGTGGGTGAGAAAGAGAAATATGGTAACTTTGGACATTATATGGTTACACAACACGAATGCAACATGAAAAAGTTAACTAAAACACGGCGTAACATGAATATGAGCACGAATGTAGCAAAATCTGGTTTCAAATATATAATACCTTAAACACAATTATAATGCATGAACATACACAAACATGACATGAATATATAAATTGTCATATATATTGAATAGTAAGGATGTAAGTCAAAAACCAGAAACACCAGTATTATTAGGCGAACCTAATTTCAAATATTGTAACACTAATAGACTATGTATCAGGTTCTGATCAGGAGAAAAAACTCACTGCAAGCTCCTTAAGCTAAAAGGGTCTAGTGAACAAGTCATAAGGAGGAATCCAGTAAACAATTAATAAAAGAATATTTTTTATTAGTTATTTCTCAAAATTCAAAAATTTAAGGGGTAAGGGCCTAATGCCTCTATATGTACAAAAAGTGCCTAGGCAAATCCTTCATGCAAACACACGTAAAGTAAAAAAAATAAGTGAGAACTCACATTTGGGACAGTTCTCAGAGTAGACAGCATCCCATATCCTTCTAGCCGATGGACCAGTATAGCCAGTGTAGCGCTCTGGGTTCAGTTGAAGGTTCACATATGTCATCTCAGCTGCAAAATCAAATTGTTCAATGATTGACTATCAATTTTTTGGAACACATTAAAACACCACCATTCTCACTGCAAGTCTTTTTGTAACAAGCATTGCCAAGAGAGCAGCACTGAATCTTAACTTAATGCAAAACATCAATTTAGCTATCAATCCCAAAGACACATGCAGTGAGCTTGAGAGCATTCAATACAAAAAAATAGGCAAAAGAAACTGAAAATGTCAGAGCTGTTGAGAAAAAAAAAATCAGACTCACAATTATCAGTCTCATCATCATATGTCCAGGGGTTATCTGTTTCTGTCCAACCTCTAAAAGCTTTTCTATCTAGTGTGCGGTCAACAGTGGCCTCTGGTTTTCCTTCTTGGCACTTAAGGTCATCTGATGGAAGGCCATGATGGTAGGGCTTCTTAAATGATTCAGGGAATTCACTTTCTGGACATTCACAAACACTACAATCCCGCAATCGGCACATACCATCATCAAGCCAAAATGGACAGTTACACCACAATTTAACCTGCTCAAGGTAACAGAAAAAGAAAAGTAGGCTTCAATGAATCTCAAGAAAGGGACCTATCCTATAGCATCAATTTCAAATACACCATATAAACAAACGTTAATTTAACTTCTGAATGACTTAAACTGGTGTGCGTTTTTCATTTTATAAACATGTTTGACTTCAAAACTTGCATAAATCTTATAATCACTTCCTTTTAACTCCAAAACTACCGCAAGTATGTGCATTGTACTGAAAATAATATCAGACAAAATACTATAATTACTGAACAGAAGGTTATGGCTGCTAAACTGGCTATTTTCCATACCTTTTATCTGATGGTTCCCTAAATTAACTGTAATAGATAACCATTTATAATGGATGGCTTTCAGGTCTCCGCATCAACATTGCGAAAAATTAATTCTAAAGTATATAATATACTAAAATATTCGATTATTCACATAATATTTCCATAATGCAATGGGCATTAAGCTAACCTTGAAGTAGCGGAAAAATGGGGTTTTAACAAGTTCTTGTAGTAATGGATGTAATACTTCCTCATTAAGATGGTCAACTGTCTCGTAATCACAACAACAATCCTCTACGATCCCGCTATACCTGTGTTCCTGCACAAATTGAAGAAAAGAGTCATTGTCATACAAACAAAATGTCAACTATTTCATCATCACCCTAAAACAGAAAAGAGGGATTCAAGAGAAGCAACATTTTCAAGGAATTCATGTACAACAAAGTAAACATAAATGCGAAACAGGGCACTTTAATTTTTACCAATTGAACATAGAGAAAACAAATAGAGAATCTCAATTACAATTCAAGATTGCACTAATTTCTTAGTACTCAACAAAACGAGACAAACCGCACCCGTTCCCAATTAATTCACCAAAACGTTATTGAGAAGAAGAAGAAAGAAATTACAAACCAAAGGATTAGATCACGAGAATACAGAAATTGATCGTTGAATTTGCGCCAATTTTGATAAAAACCAAAGTAAAAAAACAAAAAAGAAAAAGAAAAGAAAATACATTTCATTCCAACCATGTCTTTCCATTTTAGCAAATGAAGAAGAGTACAAGAGAGAGGAAGTGAAACCTGTGGACAATGACAAGAAGACTTGCTAAAAATGTGTCCAATTTTAAAAGAGATCATCGGTGTACTTCTTGAAGCCAAAGCAATAGCAATGAGAACTGTAGTGAAAGCTCCGATCACCCATCCCCACTTCATTTTCTCCCCCTTTTTACTCTTCTTGACTTCTGATTCCACCATCTACCACCTTTTCCACAGAGTAAAAAGAGACCCAGAATCCCAGACTACCTAAACTCGGAAACCCCTTGTTTTGTGTGCTGCAATTGAAAAGAAAACAAGAAAAAGATGGTAACAATACTAATTACCAGGAATATAATCGTAAATGGAGGCTATAAAAATTTAGTGTTTTTCTGATTGTGTTATTACTAGGTAGATTTTGGGGTTAGAAATAGAAAATCTCGGATTCCAAAGGGGATCTACTAGTAGAGAGACGCGATCTAAATAATCTGAGCGCTTTGCTCTGTGCATTTATTTCTCAGTTCCTCCGCGTCAGTTTCAAACCATGGGAACACAGAGAAGATATATGGTGTGCGAGGGTGCACCTAATTTTTTTATTAAATTAAAACATCTAATTGATTTAAATATCTAATATTTTTTTTGGTAAACTAAGAAATAACTCAAGCTAAAGCTTCTATAATCTTTCTTCCCATTGGAGCATCCCTCGCACCTCTTTTGATGGCGTTACGACTTCTAATTTTGACTCTGGTTAGATGTGACATTCGGTCAGCAATCTGGTTCACTTCACGATGGATGTATTCAATTTTGACCTTCTAAACCCTCTGTAGCAGACTTCATATGTGATGATGAAGTACAGTAGGTCTGTCCTCCTTGTTCCTTTGCAGCATTTTCTTTACCTCCAAATTATCCGTTTCAAGAATCACTTTACGAGCTCCCACATTCCAAGCTTGTCTTAAGCCTTTATATACTCCCCAAAGTTATGCCTCAACCAATTTAGAGAACCCAAGTATACAACGACCTTCTTCGTTACGAAGTACACCCCTGCATAATGCATTACCATTGGACGAATTCCTAGCTCTATTTGTATTTAGTTTCAGCCAACCTACAGGGGATTTGTACCAGGTGGTTTCCCTACGTGTTACTGATCAGATCTTGGCTGGTTGGTGAGCCTCGAAGTCTTCGTTTGGTGCATGTTTGTCACTAATCTTTTGCTAACTCAGCAAACACAACAAACCTTGGCCATGTCAGCATAGGTGGTGAGGAAGAGTACGTGTGAGAGAAGGCATTCCAAGGCTTTATTGATTTGGTTAGTAGGTTACTACAGTTGGTTATATATAGACATTAGGGGATAGAGGAAAAACATTAAAAATATTGTTGAAACTTGTTATCTTCTCTCCTTTTTGGGTTTCTCTTCTATTTCTTCTTTTTTGTTTTATCGTTGTTATTCTCTTATTTTTCAATGAACATCCAGCTTGTGTATTTCAATTCATATAAGTGAATTCTTAAGTACATATCTTATCTTTTTATGTATTTGATACTTTTATTTTTATTTATGATTTATAAATAGATTTGTGGTTATCTCTTCCTAGATATTATCTTCAAGATTGAAATATTAAGATTACAATACATCCAATCATGACACCTAACAATTATTTATTTCTATACTTCTATATATTCTTTTGAAAAAACAATAACTCAAAACTACTACTTAAAGATTGTTAGAAAAATGTTGGGAATCATGGTCTTTCCCGCTTCGTGAAGTTAAGATAGGCACTTAGAGATTAAGGATAGTAAAAAGAGTACAAGATTATAACTCTCTAATTTGGAGATTCTTCCACTATACAAAAGAATAGTATGATTACAAGGATGTGTTCAGAAAATTTGACTCACACTCGGTGGCTCACTCCGGCTTGAAGATAAAGACTTCCCAATCTATCTCTCTTCTCTCTCAAAGAGGCTCTCTAACTCTCTAGTGTCTCACTCTAAGAAGTTGGCTCTCTTAGTGTTTTTGGAACTCTTGGATGGTTAGGAATGAAGTCTCTCACCCCTATTTATATTACTCTGCCTCCACAATGAATGGTGGAGATTACTTACATCCAAAGGTAGAGATTAATTATCTAGAATGCTCCACACACTCTAGGAAGCTCTAAACTCTTCCACTCTCTTCCATATTCTTCCATACTATTCCATAAGGTTCCACACATCTCCAGAATATTCAAGAGGATTTCACACTCTTCGACAAGTTTCTAGAGAGTTTTACACTTCTCTAGAGTTCTCCAGAATGTTCTAAAAAATTCTACACTGCTCTAGAAAGCTCTAGAATTTTCTAGAACCTCTCTAATTAAGGAGAGATCCAACAAATCTCCCTCTCTCGACTTAATTGGGAGGTAGTAGCAAGCTGGCACCTTGATATCAATCTTCGAGCTTATTTATCGGTATTACCTTAGTCATCATATCTGACCAGTTCTCATCTGTGTGAACCTTGCCAAGATGTATTTGCTTTTCTTCGAGAAATTATCGGATCCAATGATATCTAGTGTCTATGTGCTTTGTGCGGGAGTAAAATGTTGAATTCTCTGCCAGATAAATTGCACTTTTATTGTTGCACTTTAAGACATACCTTTCTTGATCTATTCTCAGCTCCAGCAACAAATTCTTCATCCATAACATCTCCTTGCAAGCTTCAGTAGTTGCGATGTACTCTGCCTCAGTAGTGAACAATGCAACACACTTTTGCAGCTTTGATTGCCACGAGACAGCTCCCCCTGCAAAAGTAGTTAGGTATCCCGATGTTGATTTTCTTGAATCAATATCACCAGCCAAGTCTACATCTGTGTATCCTTCCAACACAAGTTTTTCTTTTTCAAAGCATAAACACCTTTTGGAAGTTCCTCGTAGTTATTGGAGGATCCATTTAGCTGTAACCCAATGTTCATTCCCTGGTTGGCCAAGAAGCGACTCACGACTCCAACTGCATAGGCGATATCTGGTCTTGTGCATATCATTGCATACATGAGATTGTCTACTACAAATGAGTATGAAATTTTCTTCATTTCCTCCATTTCGTTCTCACTTATGGGACTATGCTTCGAACTCAACTTGAAGTGTCCAACAAGTGGTGTTTTAACCGGCTTTGATTTGTGCATGTTGAATCTTACCAATACCTTCTCAATGTATCTCTCTTGGGATAACCATAATAATCTCTTTGATTTATCACGAGTTATTTGCATCCCAAGGATTTGTTTAGCCGGTCCCAAATCTTTCATGGTGAAATTCTTGCTTAGTTCCTTCTTTAAAGCAACTATCTTCATGCGATCTTGTCCAATAATTAACATATCATCAACATATAACAGGAGTATGAGAAAATCACCACTTGCATACATTTTTGTGAAGACACAATGATCATTTTCCATCATTTTAAAATCATGTTCTACCATGAAAGAGTCGAACTTTTTATACCATTGCCTTGGTGCTTTCTTAAGCCCGTATAGACTCCTAGTCAGACGACACACTAAATTTTCTTTGCCTGGAACTTTAAATCCCTCAGGTTGTTCCATGTAAATTTTTTCCTCTAGAGCACCATGTAGGAACACCGTCTTGACATCGAGCTATTCAACCTCCAAATCTTGTACGGCTACTAAGCCAAGGACCATTCGAATGGATAACATATTTACCACGGGAGAGAATATTTCTTCAAAGTCTATACTTTTTTCTTGTTTGAATCATTTGATGACCAACCGAGCTTTATAGCGAGACTTTAAACTACTATCTTCGGTCTTGATCCGATACACCTATTTATTCTTCAAGGCTCTTCTCCCTTTTGGTAGCTCCACAAGTTCATAAGTATGATTTTCATGCAAGGATTGAATCTTTTCTTACATGGTTCTTCTCCATTCTTCTTTATGAATATCACTCATTATTTCTTTATAGCTATAAGGTTCCCCCTCATCAGTGAGCATAACATATTCATCTGTATTATACCAAGTGGATGATCTTCTATCTCTCGAGGATTGTCTCGGCTCTGGTGCTGTTGGAGAGCTATATTGAGACTCTTCCTGAGCTGGTTCATCATGAGCCTCCTGGTTGTTTTGCTCTAACATAGGTTCATGATCTTCAACATCATTGTTTTCTTCTGTATTATTATCCTCAAGTCAAACTGGAGTAGGTTCGATGTTCTTGTTGCTTCTCAATCTTGGTTTCTCTGAATTTTTGATATCTTCAATTGTTTGGTCTTCGAAGAAAATAATGTTTCTGCTACGGACAACCTTCTTATTGACTGGATCCCAAATTCGATAACTGAATTCATCCTTAGGTGAACGAAGGTAGATGCATTCTTTCGTCTTTGCATCAAGCTTGGCTCTCTCATCTTTGGGTATGTGAAAAAAAACCCTGCACCTGAATACCTTGAGATGATTGTATCAAGCCCTTTTCCGCGTCCATACTTCTTCTGGGATGACCCCGTTCAAGGTAACTGATGGTGTAAGGTTGACAATGTCAACCACTGCCATTATAGCTTCTCCACAAAATGATTTGGGTAACTTAGCATGAGAGAGCACACATCAAACTTTTTCTTCAATAGTTCTATTCATTCTCTCAGCTAGTTCATTCAATTGTGTTATCTTAGGTGGAGTTCTCTATAGTTTAATGCCTTATTTATTGCAATATAGTTCAAAATGACCTCTATACTCACCTCCATTGTCAGATCTTACACACTTGATTTTCCGTCCGGTCTCACGCTCCAATAGGGCGTGTAATTCTTTGAATGCGTCTGTAACACCTCCAACCCGTATCCGACCCAAATACGAGTCTGGGGTGTCACATTGACTTTTCAAACTTTGACTCTTGACAAAATTCAAGGAAAATTTAAAATATTCATTAACATAAAAGCAGTTTATTTATATAAAATAAACAAAACAACCAAAATTGATCAGAGCATTTATAACTGACACTTTACTTACATGGCAACATACTATACACGACAAAATACATACTTTATCAATTACTTCTGATCTGATCTTCTGGCAGTGCTCCTGTTATTGCCACTCATATTTATGTTCTTCTCGATTCTTGGTACCTACGTGTAAATCACTTACACACTAAGTCATAGACTTAGTGAGGCATAACATAAATATATGTATACATATGTATAAAAATGAATTTATGAACATGCATCCTTACCATTGATCATGACATCTTAACTTGCATAGATTTATTATACTATAACATATATGATGATAGTATGCACATATAAGACATATATTTTTATGTTGATTTCGTTTTAATTTATCTTTGGATTGTCCATGTACATTATTGAGAACAAAGGTATGTGAGTACATAGAAGTTGTGCACTATGCTGTCACCACAGCTCGTATAATTCCCTCAAGGGGCACTGAATATTTATCCCGAATGACCACTATGTCCCGAAGGACCACTAATTATTTCGAAGAACCACTATGTCTCGAAGGACAACTGTATATGTCCCGAAGGACCAC